CTGAAATTGGCATAACATCTATTCATGAGTTTAGAATCCATAATTACTCTACAGCCATTTTTCAGACATTTCCTTTTGCGGTGGTTTAGTTTAATCATGCCAGCTTGATTGGTATGGAAGTGATCTAGGAGATTAGGAAAGCACAGTTCTGGATGTGTCTGGGTGGGTCATGGAGGTGTGGCCTGGTGTTCCATATCTGCTTCCTGGAAGAAACCATCCTCTCTGGCACCAATCCCCTGCTCTGTTTCCTGGCCTCCATGAACTAAGTATCTTTTCTCTGCCTTGGAGCTAGCTTATCATGGAGTAAACCCCTAGAAACCATGAGACAAATTAAACCTTTTTTTTTTTTAAAGTTGTGACTATTGTAATGGATAAGCTGACTAGCATACCCTTTTACTTGCTAACTTTTAGATCCACATATAAAGCTACAGTATACTCTCCCTGTGTAGATGGAATAATTATGTCTATTTTTATGTTCTCCCATTGTCCCCTTATATTTATGTAGTTTTATCTAATATTAAATATTCATTCTGACATGATTGCTTTTGTAAAAATAAAAATTTCTCTTTAAAACTCCCAATTCCTAGCTGGGGCATTAGCTCAGTGATGTCTCTGCCTGCCTTGCAAGTGCAAAAACAAAAATAAATAAATAAAAATAAATAAAATTCCCAATTCCATGTGATAAAGTAGTATAAAAATGAGGCCTATCTACTGTGCTTGCTAACTACACTTGCTCACTACAAAGAGTGAAGCAGCAGTCAAGTTCACGGGCATGCTGACCTTTCTCTTTCTTTACTTTGCAATTCTGCTCTTTTTCTCTATTCTTGGCCACAAAAGTGTTATATGTGCAGTCTTTTTGGTCTTAAAATCACTTTGAAATGACCCCTTTTCTCCTATGAACCCTTTTCTGTCTTCCATTACTCACCCTTGAGGAAGGAATTGCTCCCTTTTCTGGTTCATCATTGGCTCCTTTCTCAGTCCATGTATATCTGTGAGTGTTTGCGATTTTTCTTTGTTGAAGGTTTTTGGCCTTTTCTGCTGACATTTTAATCACATGAACACATACATGCAATCTTCAGCACTGACAAACTAGGACTGCAGAATTTCCTTGGTCAACCACTCCTCCTTTGGTTTATCCAGAAACAGCAGTCCTCCCTGTCTTTGGTGCTCAGACTTCTTTATGCAGAGGCCAACATCAGTTGACCTTGTCTACTAATTATAAGACATAGCATCCCATATCTCTCTCTGGTATCCTTTCTCTAGGCTTGAAATAAGCAGAGGGTTAAGCTACTTCTACTTTTGTTTCTTTCCCTACTTGTATTTAAAGGTACATCATTTGGTATTCAACATCCTTGAGGCAGAAAACGTCTATTTACTTCTGTCTGTCCTCCTGGAGAGGGGCAGAACATTCTGAAGGAAACTCCTCTCAAATTTACTTCTCTCTGATCAAAATGAGGGGGGATTTGTCATCCAGTTTAACTTTATAAATTCTACCTAGGGTCTAGGGAATTTGTTGTTTCTGGTATCTCAGCAAGATATTTCCACATCACGCTATATACCTACCATTTTTCGGTGACCATTTCCCTTGAGATCCTGCTCTGGTGATGGTTTGTCTGAGTCCTCACCAAGAGCGGTGGTGTCAAGATGGGTTATCAGCCCCTCCCCTCTACTATGACCCCCATCCCAGCTCCACTTTTTCATTGGTCTCAGCCTCTGCCATTCAGAGCACAGAACTTGTGCTGACTCCATCGTTTGACGTGCAGTGAAGCAGCACTCACGTAACCAACCTCTGCTTCACCTATAGCCAGTATGAGTTAGTTTTAAAATTAACTCACCTAACATTGCACAAGCAGATGAGAAAAGGTGGATCAAAAAGGAAGAGTAAAATGAATGAGCATTCAGCTCTGATGCTATGGTCTGAACATGTCAGGACCCAGAGTAGATATGAGAACCAAGCAACATTCACTCTCTTTCAAGTATCATTGCTATGCTAACTGCATAGGAGTAAGCAAGCAAGTATATATGCATCCTTGAAAATAGAATAAAAAAATCCATCTTAAATTATTATTTAGAATCATCGAGCGCTGTCTCATTAAAATAATGCAGTTATAGCTCAATAGAGCTTAACTGAAGGGGACAAAAATAATTCACTGCTGAGCGGTTCAGGTGCGTAGCTCTACACTCCTAGTTAGCAGCAGCCATGTAACTGACAATATTTACCTCCTGTTGGCCTCTGTCACATTCCCTTTCTTGTTTCAGTATCTCTCTATGAGTTGACTGCCTTTTGGTTTTCTTTGTGGAGGTGTCCTTCGTGCAGCACAAAAACACCACTGGAAGAGGTGTGTCTGTCACCCAGATGCCCTGGGAAAGAGCCATCCGTCTTCCTGCTGTGACTGGCTGGGCAGAAGGCATTTTTGCCATAGTGTATTGGAGATGCTTCAAAAGCAGAGGCTGGGGAGGGGTATGCAAAGGAAAGTGGAGGTGTAGTGTGTCAGTCTGTGAGGGTTGCTACACACCACCCTGCTTAAGTAACAGAAACATTACTTGGGATCTATCATAATGGTTTCATGTTTGACTTGGTTACCTCTGTGAAGACCTTGTCTTGGATTCTGAGACAGTGGTCTTCAGGGATCTCTTTAGGGGGACACAATTCAAAAAGTGACCCACTGTTGTGTCAAGTGATGGAATGAGAATTAACTCTGAGAGGAAACATATCAACTCCTTCTACAGTATTTGACACTTTATGGCAAATCCGTAAGAAAAAGCAACAGTGGACGTTGAAGCGGTTCTTCCTCTTTAAATACACAACAATAGGATTTTCCTTATTTTTTATTCATAAAACATATATCAGAATTCCTTGTTACTTTTGGACATATAGATTGGTCAAAGTCCTAAGAACACTATGATTTGATAGTGTCCCATGCATGTACCTTTTGAAAATTTTATTTTAGTAATACAGAAAAAGAAAAAAAAACATGAGAAAATGAAAAAATGGAAATAAAGTATTTGTAAATGGGGAAAGGAGGAGGGTGATGGGAGGGCAGGGAGTAAGGGGAAAAAATGAGAACCAAGACCTGTCGTGTAAATGTACAAGATCCCAATGATGAATGTAACTGTACTGTATACCTAAAATGTACCAATGAACTCAATGAGAAAAAAAAAGTTTTAAAGGCAATTGTTAAGAATAATAATTTTTTAATTGAAGAATCTAACACCGTGAATGCAAAATTAATTTTAAGTAAAATAATTATAAATAAAGTTGCCTTATGTATATCTTCTATCTATCAATATGTTTAGATGATTTTCTACCTTAGAAAAGAGCACTACCTCAATTGAAGTGTGCAATTGCTTCAGCATAATCAGAAATTTGTTTAACAGAAATTTTTATAAAAGATATATATTGTAGTATATGTGTTTATGCTATTCTTTCCTATCAGCTCTGTAATTTTAAGGTCAGTCACAAAACCTTAAGCTTAAATTTTACTCTTAACAGTTTCTCAAAACATTTGCTTTATAAACAAATTTTAAAAATGACAAAATAATCTGTCCAGTAAGACAAAGGAGCATTTGCATCTTTATTTTTCCCCAAAGGGAAAAGACAGATGTAACTAAACTATAATTTAGGGACACACACACAAACATGTCTAGATCTCTCTTCCATTAAAATAAGTCATTGTTTATTGTGAGGAAAGTTCTGTGTTTTATTTTTTTGTTGTTTAATCACTGTTTTGTTTTATGATTGAACGCGGAACTCAAACAATATGGGTTGAATGGAAACTTTGTGATTTGGGGGTAAGTACAAAATATTATTTAAATATCATATATGGAATGGCTTGTTTTAAAATTTAATAGCTGTGTGTTCATGGATTCTACAATCCATTTTTAGAAACTGTCTTTCTGAATAACACTGTTTCAAACAACATTCCCCCTGGAGATGATGTGAATTGCTTCCTGCAGAACATGTGCCACACAGCATGCTCTGATGTGCATCTTACTTCCAGATGCTCCTATCATCCTTTCTTATGAAACAGCCTCAGGACAAGGACTGTGTGAGAGAACTGGAAAGCAAATAAATGTGCAGGCCCTGGTTCTTCTTACCCAAACCGTAAAATAACTTGGAAAGGATGGTCCCAAGTCCCTCTTCGTCTCCCAGAGTCTGTGATCTGCTTTATTTCCATCTTTCTGGTCTGCACTATGAGTACACTGTTGCCATTGTATAATTGGAATCATGATCATCAACTAAGATTGGTGATCATTCATTTTTTGGGCTGTACCAGGGATCGAACTCAGGAGCTTGCACTTGTGAGGCCAAGAGCGAAGCCATGGAGCCAAATCCCCGGCCCGGTGATCATGCATTTTTAACTTCCAAATGTTTGATGTTATAATTTAACATTTTCAATCTAACTTACCTTTAATTTTCTGGAATAGTTTTATCATTTTTTATATGGAAGGAAATTACTATGCATCACACAACAAAGAGGGATTGTTCTCCTTGGGGTAAATGTAAGTGTACATTCTCTCTTTTTTGTTTGCATTATAAAACAGAACAAGAATTATTGTGATAAGAATAAAAAAATTTAGATGTACTTGCATAGACTTCTATTTATTTTATAATCCTTGGAATAATGTTATGATTTTGATCACAATTGCAAAGTCTTACATAATTCATGGCATTGTGGAAAGGTGGAAATGGGTAAAATGAAGGGGAAAACAAAATCTTCAGTTAAGTTCAACTTATGTTCAAATATTCTGAATTTTGAAGAAATATCTTCACGCCATAGTAAAACATAGTTTTGTTCTGGTTCTGTTCACATTAATTAGTTCTAGAGCGTATGACAAGCTCCGTATGCCAGCGCTATCTCATTTAATCACATAAGTTAATTATGGACAAATGATATGATAGGTTTCATGTACATATTATTGGTCTTTAGAATTCTATTTGTATTAATAGTATGTAAAACTGCATCTGAGGAAAACATAAAATTTGTCTCTATAACTTCCTAAATCTAAACAAATTATAGAATATTTGTAAGAAAATGTAATGCATATAATTGTAAACACTATTGTTTTGATATTTCCTGAAACATGTGACATCCATTCCAGAAAAGAATATCGCTCCAAATTAAATGCTTGTGTCAAAATTCTTAAGAACTAATCCCCAACGTGCTGGTATGTGGAGGCAGGGCCTTTGGGAGGTGATTACACTGTAAAGGTGGGGGCCTCATTAGTGGGATTCGTGCCTTTATAAAAGAAACCTCTCGTCCTTTTCATTATGTGACACAGTGAGAAGAGCCATCTTTGAGCCCAGCAGTGGCCCCTCTGCAAACATCAACTCTACTGGTGCCTTTTCTTCATTTTCCCACCTTCTACAAAGTGAGAAATAAATCTCTGATTCCAAGCTACCCAGATTTTGGTATTCTCTTACATCATTCCAAGTAGATTAAAAAAAAATCACTACTAAGGAGATTTTTCCTACAATATTAATGCACTAATATATCATTGTATTTAATATTTCATTTATATAAGATATTCCTCAGCTGATTAGTAATTTGCAATTGTTTAAAAATAAATATTTTTTAATTTTTATTTTTAAAAATATATATTATTTTAAATCATTTTGTCCCACGGTACTCTTTTTTTGTGGTAAATTCTTGAGCAAGACATTACTGGAACATGTTTATACAAAAAGTACCACACAGCATGAAAAAAATATGTTGTTAAGTTTTATCAATTAAAATATTAATGGAAGAAATGATTTGAAGTATTTATTTTTTTATTTATTATAGAAAAAGTTATAGAGACAAGATATTCTTTCCCCGTTGTAATCTTAAATCTGCTTGATAATCTTCTAAGCAAATAATTTTCATCTATATAAATAATTTTATGGAAATTCCTCATTTCCCTAAAAGTGGATGAGGTAGCAAATACTAAGAAGTTTTTCAAAAGACTAGAAATTAGTTTAATTCTTGGGCTTGCAATGATAGAGGTATTGCAGAATATTAAGTGTATGTTATCATTCATTCAGATGTGAGCAACATCTTTGAAAGGTGATGCTGTATTTGGTGCACAATGAAGAATGATTGAAATTATAATCAATAAGATGACTGGGTCCAGCTCAACTCCCACAAATCACATTAATTTAAAAAGTAGAAAAAGTCAGTATAATTGGATCATTGAAAGCCATTTCTACCCACAGACGTATCTTTTAATGATAGAATTTTTTATAAAAGCTTACTCTGTGGTTGGAGCTGAGGAAATGATTAATAATTACTATCAGTTCCTGTTTACAGCTCAACCCATCTGAAGATTTCCTGACAACTCGCACCCAGGGCCAAAGAAATGGCTTGTCTCATCAAGTGTTCTGTTTTGGAGGAACACCAAAGAACATTTAATTAAGATGGTAACAAAATTGGCCACAGTACCTATCCCTAGAGGATCCTACTGTTTATATTTTTCATCCAAAATTGAATTGTTCTTTTAGTGTACTTGACTTTTAGCCAGTTCCCTAATTATTTCAAAATATTATTCATAATCTTGTGATTCTGCTGTGAAAACATGTGTGTCCATGCAGAACACACACACTTGCCCTTCTTTGTGTGTGTGTGATCTTGTACCTTTTTTTCCTTTTATTGAGTTTATTGGTACATTTTAGGTATACAGTACAATTACGTTCACTATTGGGATCTCATACCTTTACATGGCAGGTCTTGGTTCTCATTTTTTCCCCCTTCTTTCGCACTTTTTGTCTTCTTAAAAATAAGGAGCCCAGCATGTCTTCGATAAGTATCTTTGCTGAATAAGTGTTTAACTTTATGAGACTCACAGTGATGCTGCATAGTAGAAACAGAGGAGCATCACGCAGAAGATTAAAGGGCAGATGTCTGGAGAGACCAGTATCTGTTTAATGGAGCAACTTGAGCAATTTTGTAGAACCAAAAGCATGCTCAGGAAAGTAGAGAAATTTTATGAGGATGATAATTGGAATATAAGATAAATATGGGATGTTTAGCTAGAAAACATGGTTTTATTTAAATGAAATCTTGGCCAACGTTTTTCAAATTATTATTGCTATTATTATTATCATTATTATTATTATTAGTCATCGTAGTAGTAGTTCAACCTTGCACTTGTGAGGCAGGCGTGGTGGCACTGACATTAAGAATTCGATTACAAAATTAAATTTTGTAACTCAGGAATTATGCAGATATAACTCTCTCTAAAGCTAGGCTGTAATAGCTTTGCAAATTCCTGATAGGCACAGATTTCAATTTATGAGATTTTCTTGAATTAAATCACCAGCCCCCCCACCCCTCAGCAATTATCCCAATGTCAATAATCGAGGTTGATGAATTGCGAGATACTGCACAAAGAACAAAGAACAAACTGCACTGCCAGGTTTTCTGTACACAAATTGCTGTCTGTGTCACGTCTGGCAACATCATGTCATTTCATTCAAAGCTGTGAGTGGCTGGTTAGTGTAGACCTATTACTCAGTTCACCCATATATAAGAAGGAGTGTGTTGTTTCCTCTTTATCCCTCAGTGATGGAGCCCAGTACCAGTTTATAACAGAAAGATA